AAAGAGTATTGGTGCTAATTTTAAAGGACAAAACTCTGCTGTGGAAAGGTAATCTATATCTGTATATATTTTTATTTTTTCAGTAAACTTTCAAAAACCTAACCGCTGATGTAAGAGGCTTTTCTGTCAGAAAGCTGGTCCAGCAGGTGTAAACTTTGTACTTTGGCTCAGAAAACAATGTTGGTAACAACCAGTCGAGTGGCATCAGGTCTTGCTAAGTGGAGGCAGCCCTTACTGCTATTAAGAATTGGATGTCAATAGAGACTCTTTTTTTTTTTTAACCAGCTGCTCCTAATTGCCCCACCATTTAGCCACCGAACAAAGGGCTATGGGGCTTTTGCCATTTTACTGGCAGCCTTTGTTTTAGAAGCCTTTGAAGTTAAAATCTAAGCCACAAATCACTTATAGGTTTCTTTCTTGATGGCTTAGGTAAAGTCCAAGAGACTATTTTGCACCTAGTAGCCACAAATCAATTATTAATGTCTCAAAGAAGTCCATCAGTGCCGTGATTCTATCTTATATGAACATCTGTCTTAGCTGCTGGTAATCAAGCTAAAACAAATCATTCAACAATTCAAATCATCACTGTAAAAAATTCTAACACTGGTAAAACATGATTACATGGTTTTCCTTTCCTCTTAATTAGGAAGGTGGGATTGTAAAATAGTTTTTCTGAGAAGTCTTTTTTTCTCTCTTATTTATTCATCTCTACAGAGAGAACAAGAATACCTCAGAGGTTCCCAGTGATCAGCCTCCCCAGGAGCATCAAGCACACCTGGACTCCATATTTATGGTCTGTAAATATACAAACAGTACTTTACATCTGTTCACAGTCATTTCTTAAAAATTTTATGCATGTTCTTACAACCAAACACAGAAGCAAAAAGCGTGACTATTTTTGAAAATAGCTTCAAAATTCAGATGGTGCAGCAGCAAAAATATAACTGTATGGTATTTACATTGTATTTCAAGCTCTAATATTTCTAAACCACTTGTTAGTTTTATTTAAAAAATACTTTTAAATCGTTACAGAAAGTTGTATTATAATAAAGTGGAAGCAACTGGAAATGAAAGTCTGACTGCACTGTGCCAAATGTAAAGTTTAGTGGAGGTTTGATTATGGGATTTGTTTGTTTTTCAGGGTTGGGGTTCGGCTCCTTAGTGCTGATCCTGTGTTTTTTCACAAAATTGTGTGGTATGACCAAAGGTCTCCACTTTGGTGTCATCCATTCAGAGTCTTGTGGTTTGTTTGGATGCAGCTTTACAAACCTAAGCTGTGCTGTTTTCTTCTCAGAAAGGAGAGCTTTCTCCTGACAACCCTTCTAAACTTGCAATATTTGTTTCTCCTTTTTCTAAATGTACTGTCATAAACTTCAACTCTTTAGCTCTTGTGTTTTTTTTGCTGTTTCTTTGAGAATTGTACAGTCTAACCAGGTTTGCCGCGACATCCACACCTTGGAAGACTAGCAACTGACTTATTATTTTCCACTTGTGAATAATCTTTAGGATGATGGCCTTCAAATTGTTTTCAACTTGCTTTAAAACTCTTCCCAGATTGATGGGTGTGAATGCCCACATGAATGCAGCATTGAGTGCAAAACAAAAGAAATGGTGTATGCAGATCTGCAGTGCTCAGCAGGAATCTTAACATTCCCTGAGACATTTTCCTCCATCACCAAGGTCTAAAGTTAATTTATTCAGCTTTTAAGGGGGATCTAAAAACAGCAAACTGACACCACACGAAGCCCTGGAATGATGTATAAATAAAACAGATTTTAATTCCAGCTGGATTGTAATTGTTTTCAACATGGTTCTGATGTTTGTATCTATGATTTCAGATTTATTGAGTCATTCATATAAATTTCTGTTCCAGCTCCTGGAGGAGAAAATCATCACTTTTGTGAAGAATGAGTTAAAGAAGATCCAGACAGTTCTGTATCCAGATTATTCAGAATGCTTAAACTGCCAGACGGAGGATAAGGAGATTTTGGAGTGTGAGGATGAAGAGCAAAGGCGTACCAACAGAGAGGCATTTATAAAGATCACACTGCAGTTTCTGAGAGGAATGAAGCAGTATGAGCTGGCTGACCGTCTGCTGAGCAGTAAGAGGATTTTTCTAAACATAGAAGCTGCTGGTTATACTAAGACATTTACTAATGTCTGAAGGATTACACCAGCACATATGTAAACACTCATTCTTTAGAAGAATTAAATGGTGGGATATTTAATATATAACTTAATCAGGTAACATATTGTCTGTTTTCAGGCAGATTTGCTCCAGTTTGTCAACATAATCTTAAATCTCAACTGAAGAAGAAGTTCCAGTGTCTGTTTGAGGGGATCGCTAAAGCAGGAAATCCAACCATTCTGAATCAGATCTACACAGAGCTGTACATCACAGAAGGGTCTGCAGAAGTCAATGATGAGCATGAGGTCAGACAGATTGAAACAACATCCAGGAGACGAAAACCAGATGGACCAGAAACAACAATCAGACAAGAAGACATCTTTAAAGCCTCACCTGGAAGAGATGAACCAATCAGAACAGTGCTGACAAAGGGAGTGGCTGGCATTGGGAAAACAGTGCTAACACAGAAGTTCACTCTAGATTGGGCTGAAGACATAACTAACCAGGACATCAAGTTCATATTTCCATTCACTTTCAGAGAGCTGAATGTGCTGAAAGAGAAAAACTTTAGCCTGCTGGAACTTGTTCATCACTTCTTTACCAAAACTAAAGAAGTAGGAATCTGCAGCTTTGAAGACTTCCAGGTTGTCTTAATTTTTGATGGCCTCGATGAGTGTCGACTTCCTCTGGACTTCCACAAAACTAAAATCCTGACAGACCCCACTAAGTCCACCTCAGTAGATGTGCTGCTAACTAACCTCATCAGAGGGAACCTGCTTCCCTCTGCTCACCTCTGGATAACCACACGACCTGCAGCAGCCAATCAAATCCCACCTGGGTATATTGACATGGTAACAGAGGTGAGGGGGTTCACTGACCCACAGAAGGAGGAGTACTTCAGGAAGAGATTCAGAGATGAGGAGCAAGCCAGCAGGATCATCTCCCACATCAAGACATCACAAAGCCTTCACATCATGTGTCACATCCCAGTCTTCTGCTGGATCGCTGCTACAGTTCTGGAGGATGTGGGGAAGAAGAGAAAAGAGGAAACAAGGACAGCACTACCTACAACCCTGACTGAGATGTACATCCACTTCTTGGTGGTTCAGGCAAAAGTGAAGAAGGTCAAGTATGATGGAGGAATGGAGACAGATCCACCCTGGAGTCCAGAGAGCAAACAGATGGTTGAGTCTCTGGGAAAACTGGCTTTTGAGCAGCTGCAAGGAGACAACCTGATCTTCTATGAATCAGACCTGACAGACTGTGGCATCGATATCAGCGCCGCGTCAGTGTACTCAGGAGTGTTCACACAGATCTTTAAAGAGGAGAGAGGACTGTACCAGAACAAGGTGTTCTGCTTCATCCATCTGAGTGTTCAGGAGTTTCTGGCTGCTCTTCATGTCCATCTGACTTTCATCAACTCTGGAGTGAATTTACTGGAAAAGCAACAGGAAACCACCCAGAATTTGCAAGAAGAAGAATCTGCAGACACTTGCTTGTACAAGGGTGCTGTGAATAAGGCTTTACAGAGTTCAAACGGAAAACTGGACTTGTTCCTCCGCTTCCTCCTGGGTCTTTCACTTCAGACCAATCAAAGTCTTTTACATGGGCTGCTAGAACAGACAGGATGTAGCTCACAGACCAATCTGGAAACAGTTCAACACATAAAGGAGAGGCTCAGTGGAAATCTATCTGCAGAGAAAAGCATCAACCTGTTTCACTGTCTTAATGAACTAAATGAACATTCTATATTGGAGGAGATCCAACAGTCCCTGAGATCAGGAAGTCTCGCTGCTGATAAACTGTCTCCTGCTCAGTGGTCAGCTCTGGTCTTTATCTTATTATCATCAGAAAAAGATCTGTTTGTGTTTGACCTGAAGAAATACTCTGCTTCAGAGAAGGCTTTCCTAAGCCTCCTGCCAGTGATTAAATGCTCCAGCATAGCGCTGTAAGTCATAAAGTTTTCATGATTTAAACACACTGTTTTTGTTATTCTGTTTAGCACAGTTGTGTGCTGTCTAGTTTGATGTAAGATTTATGTGCCAATTAGAAGCTGCACTTAATGTATAAGCTCATTGTGTCATCGGGTTTCTTAGGGTAAACTGGTAACGATTTAGCATGTGTTAAGTTGATGATTTATATAGTCCATGTATAATCAAAAGTTCATGCTGTGCAGTCACATATTATTATTTTCTTGTCCATTGTTGTCTCCTCAGACTTGGTGGATGTAACCTCTCAGACAGAATCTGTGAAACTCTATCCTCACTACTCAGCTCCCGTTCCTCTTGTCTGAGAGAGCTGGACCTGAGTAACAACAACCTGAAAGACTCCGGAGTGAAAGTACTGTCTGGGGGACTTGAGGGTCCACACTCTAAACTGGAAAAACTTAGGTTACGATTCTTCAAATCTTTCATGATATGTGTAAAATTGTTCTAGTTGAGATCCTAGATATTACATATTAAATTATCAGGACTTTCTCACTACTTTCTTTTCATGTGGTCTGTTTAGGATCTTTTTTTTCTCTTTAATTAAAGAAATGACACTCATGAAGCACTTTGAGAGTTCAGGTAGAGTAGACAAGCGCTATCTAAGAACCAGTACATTTACCATTTACCACGTGAGCACCAGTTCAATTTTTTCTAATTGTTTAATAGTTTCTGTCATGTATGCTGTCTGCAGATTGTCAAGTTGCTCAGTCACAGAAGAAGGTTGTAGTGCTCTGACATCAGCACTGAACTCCAACCATTACCACCTGAGAGAGCTCGACCTGAGCTACAATAATCCAGGAGAGGCAGGGGTGAAGATGCTGAAGCAGCTCCGACTGGACACACTCAGGTGTGCAGAGGCTGTTTGCAGCCACAGTGTCTGATAGAGGAAGATGATTTTGAAAGTTTTTCTTACAGTCACACATAAAGTAGCCTTTTTCATTTAGCTCATTACAGGAATTCTACTTGAACGTGAACAAGAAATAAGTGAAGGGTTTGTGAATCTGTAGCTTCGTAGTCTCACGCAGCCTATTTGTCCATATGCTTATGAATATAAATGCGAACCGAATAAGCAGAGGGTATGTTTTGAGGATTCATATGTTCCCCACCACCTCTGGATAACAAGCCATGCCAAGTGTTTTGGGAGGGGTTTGTTTTGTTGTTGTTTTTTTGTTGTTTTTTGTACTGGTTTACTACTTTACAAATGACTAAGCTGCTAATGTTTTATTACTATATTTGGCTGCTTTTAATGATATGGACAAGGAGGATTGAAAGTGGACTGCATTACTTTGAACCGCTATTTCCAAAGAACATGCTTAGGTTGGGCGATATGTAAAAAAAACTTCCAACCGATGCAGGTGATATATTCACGTATGCACAGACTTTTTGATGGGCAGAGCAATGTAATGATGCACATATTGATTTGCGCGTTTAGAACACAGATGAAGTCCAAACATGGACAAAGTAATTGCCAAATTGCACACTGGAGGAAAAGGCACAGATAGAAATAGACTGTTACCTCAGTGAAGAGTTGTTTGGTCGAGTGTGTAAAACAGATAAACACTGGAAATGCCTGTAAACACGGTTATAGTGGAAAAAATAAGCCAGTTTCTCTTTGTTTCCTTCCCCACCATAGTGGGTTTTTTTATTTGATAAAATGCTTTTGGTTTTTTTTAACATAGGCTACTGCTGTTCTTTCTTTCTCTTATTTGAGTAAATCGCTCCAGCACTCTAAGGAGGGTGCATTTGCTCACAGCTGAAGGAGGGTGACGTTAAAACAGCGCTATTATTTGTTTCTGTTGACTGCTTCTGTTAGCTTCAGCCAACATTATTAGCAAATAAATAAATAAATCACCCTTGTAAAAACGATTGAGCTTTTTTTGTCAATAGTCGATATATTCCTCCAATCGCCCAGCCTTAGTGCATGCAAATAATTTGTATTTCAGTTCTCAACTTTAGACTTTAACTTTGTTATACAGGTAAAACAATTTATTGCAATTAAATTACAATCAATTGATTATTATTGTATTCACCCTCTGGAGTCGACAGACGCACCGGCGCATCAAAATCACATGACCAATTTAAGACGACACAGCTACAAGATGTTGCGACTCAGTCTCCATTTCAATTTGGGTCGAGAGTACGGACTTCAAACGATATACCAGTTTTTGAATTGTGTCAATGGGCCACGTAAAGCCAGGGTTATGATAAAAAATACACGC